AAAAAATGGGGATAGGATTTCTTTTTCATATGATCACATCATTAGATGATAAGAATAAAAAGCAAATTAAAATGATGGTGTTTTGACCGTTATATACTAATCAACGTATTATTATTATTATTAAAAAGATCGAATTAATTGAAGTTGTTTGCATTAATAAGATAAAGTTTACACAGTATGACGCGGCGGCTGAATTGTTGGGATCTAAACAACCAATTAATTAATTAATTAATTAGTGATAATAAGGTTTAATTAAGAAACCATAAAACTAAATATGGGGTCATATTTATGACGTAATTAATGCTGGGAACCTTCCTTTCCTTTCCATGGCGTTGACGACGTCGTCGTCTTCATCAGCTGCCCTCTTAACTTAAAACTCAGTATTGTTCGTGAAATGTAAAAAAAATAAGGTTCGTGAAAACGCAATCGTTTTATTCTAGAAGTTGCAACCGTTTTATATGGTGTCATCGTTTCCAAAATTCTTGGATCCGTCCCAGGCTTACGTTTAATCTTCTTCACATGTATTAATTTGTTTAAGTTTTGGACATAATGATAAAAATAGACAAATAAAGATATATGAAATCTTTTGTTTTCAAGTCCTTATTAGGGGGTATAAACGAGTCGAGCTTTTAACGAGCTATTTGAGCTCGTCTATCTAGACCTTGAGCTTAATAATTATTGAGCTTGTGTTAATCTCAAACACAAAATAAAGCCCGTTTAGCTTAACGAGTCAAACTCCATAACACTAAAGTTCAACTACTCCACTCGTTCGAAAACTCGATTAAACTTTACGAGCCGAGCCGAGCCGAGCCGAGCCATTCGAACATACACTTTTTTCAAGCCAAATATATTTATATGTTTACAAATTACATATTGTATAAAAACTATTGAGCTTGATTAATAAAGGAGTTAATAGATCTCAAACTCAAGCTCATAAAATGAGCATCAAGCTCGAACTCAAACATTGAAAAAAATATTTGAGCTCGAGCCCAAGTTTGGAAAAGTTAATGGAACTCGGGCCTGATATTATTTTTTCAAGCCGAGTTTAAATATTTTGTTACTCGACTTGATTCGGCTTGTTTACATCTCTTGTCCTCACGAAAATCTTTATTCTCAACGGAAAGCAACCCTACTGTCCAATTAATTTACTTAACATTAAATAGACGTTGATATGATATTTTTTTTACTTATATGCATCAAAGGAAAAAAATTGTAACAATAAGACATTATCTATACTATATTATAAAATATTTAACAAAAATTTTTAAAAACAATTTTTTATGTATGAATTACTATATATTGATGCATATTACTTAAACTTCAAGATTACAAATAAATTATACATAAATATTCTCTAAAAAAATCCATATACATTATATTCGTATTAACATGGTCGATTAATTTGATATAATTAGAATTTAATTTTCTATATATATAAATATTTATTATTTAGAAAAAAGAAAACATATAATTAACTTCAATATTTAATTATTTAGTCATAAGGTACTAGTGGGAAGCTTCCCCTTCCTTCCCACGGGGTTGACGTAGTCGTCGTCTTCTTCATCTACTGCCCTCTCAACTTCATGGGGTCTATAAAATCTTTGCAATCCCATTCTCACTCTTCAAACTACCATTTTCAAATCCTCTCGTTCTCCAGTTTCTAGAGACTCTCAGGCAACCCAAAACACTTACAATCAGATCATCAAATTCACAGAAATGGCGTAGGTATAGATCTGTTTAGTAATTCAAATTCACTCTGTTTTCCATTTATTTGAATCGGTTAATCTCACTTTGTATGATTGATTCTAATTGCAGCAAAAGATTGTGGTGAAGGTGACCATGAACAGCGAGAAGAAAAGTCGCAAGGCTCTGAAAAT